TATATTCCTATCTACTTAACTACTTTACTAGGGGAAACTAGTTTCCTATTAGGTAGTTTTAAGCTAGGTTTGTTCTTGGAATTATTAAAGTAAATGAGCTTAGTCTTATCTATATCGAAGCTAATAGCATTTTTATTTCCTAGATTAACTATATCCTTTACTTCCCGCTCTAAAGTCTTAATATTCTTTTTAAGGCTATTAGAAGCAGTAGTAAGGGTTATATCGTCTAAATAGGACTTAAAACTGACGTTTGCTAATTTAAATAGATCTCGGATATAGATCAGGAATAGTATAGGTAATATAGGACTCCCTTGTGAAATGCTAGTAAGTATAGACTTAAATGCTTCTATGCTATTATTAAAAGCTAGTCTTAATACTCGGTTATCTAGGAACGACGATACCCAGAGAATAAGGCTAGTGGGTAGTAATAAACTAATTATGATCTGTAATAGCCTATTCTTGGATACGTAATCGAAGGCACCTTTGATATCTAGGAAGAGAGTAGTAGTTTTTAGCTTATAGGACTTATTAGTCTCTACTTCATTCTATAGTAATAAAGCAGTATTAATAGCTGACTTATATAGCCTACCTCCCATTTGGGAAGGGTATAATAGGTTACTAGTCTCGGCTAAATAACTAAGTCTCTTAGCTAATATTCTCTCAGAAACCTTCCCTAAGTAATTAAGTAAGGAAATAACTCGATATGCTTTAGGTAGGAAATAGTTTGGTTTTCCTGATTTCTTTAGAATAAAGCTAGTAGCTTGTTTCCAGACTTTAGGGTAGTACCCCTTATTAATAAATAAGGAATATAGCCTATAAAAAATGTCTGGAGCAGCTCTATAAGCGTGAACTATAATCTCTTGAGTAACTAAGTCTGGTCCTGGGGTTTTCCCCTTTATCTTAGAGGTGCATGCTTGTTCTAGCTCTATTTTGGATAGAATAGGCCAGTTCCACTTTAAACTAGGCCTATAGTTTATTAGGCTAATAGGCTCAGTATTAGGGGGTAGTGGGAAAAGCTCAGCTCTAAAGATATTACACTTCTCTTGGAAAGTCGACTTTAAATCGCTATTACCACTATTACTACTATTTCCATTATTACTACTTAAGATACTAGGGATCGGTTCATATAAGGTATCTTTAGTGTATTTCATAGCTTTAAAAATCGACTGGGAGTCTTCATTCTCTAAGAACTTATTCCAATATGCTAGCTTAGCGCCTTTAATAGCAATAAAGTAGGTATTCTTTGCATTTTGGAGTTCTTATTTATAGAGAGTATACCCTGAGGCTTTAGACTTATGGCTATAGTATAGCATTAATTTACGTAAAGTCTTTAAGTTCTCATTCCACCAGGATTTAGAATATAGACTAATAGTAGATTTTGGAATACTATTACTAGCCGCATCCACTATTCTATTAGTAAAGTCTTTAGCTAATAGGTCTAGTTCATGGTTTCCAGGTATACTAGTAAGTGGAAAGGGCATATTATTAAGGCTACTAATAAGGTAGCTTGTAAATTTAGCCCAGTCCGCTTTCCTAGTATTAAATCTGACTGGATTAGAACTAGAGCTATAAGTCGACTTACTAATAGTAAATAGTACCCCAAAGTAATCAGAACCTAAGTCTGGTAGCACTTGCCAGTCTTTGATCTTAGTTACTATTCCACTAGTAGCAAAACTTAAGTCTAATACGGAAGGAGTGGATATATTAGATCTATAGAAGGTACCTTCCCCTGGTTTATTTAATAGCCTTAGAGAATGGCTCTCTATATAGCTAATTAAATGGATTGTATGACTGCTTTGAGGCCTTAGGGGATCCTACCAAGGATGATGTGTATTAAAATCGCCTAGTAATAAAGAGCTATTAAAGAAAGTAGTAGGTAAAATGTCCTCTCTTAATATAGTCAATATACTATTAGGGTCTTCTGGGTGAATTGCATTATAGAAATTAATTAGCTGCATTTTTAGTACACCTAGACTTAAGTCTATAATTAGGTAATCTGGATTACTTGGTGAGTTTTGAGCTAGGCTAGCCTGTAATTCACGGGCTATGTAAATTAAGGTTCTAGGTCTCAAGATACCGTAATTCGGGAGTATTTAATAATAGCTCGAGTATATAATAGAATAATATTTCCGATTATTACTATCTCTTACTATTACCCATAATTCCTGGATTACTAGGACTTTAATATCTAATTCTATAGCTATTTGCAAGACGTTTTCAGTAGTAGTTCCATTACGATTCACATTAAATTATAGTACTTTTACGTAGTTACTCATTAATAGTAATAGTAGGAATTGAAGTGGTGGCTTGCTTTATAGCTAAGTAGACTTCACATAGCTTAGAACTAGCTGAATGTATAGTACTTAAGTAATTGGAGCATTTAGTGATCACGTAGGGGCATTTTTTACCCTTCTTTTTATAGATAGAGCAAAAATGGTTCTCAGTCACATGACTTTCCCCATATAGTAAACACATAGGTTCTCTTTTACAAATAGAATCTAAGTGCCCGTACCCTGCGCACCTAGTACACTATATAGTACTAGAGATAGTATGATATTTTACTACCTTAGCAGAGATTCCGGCTATAAGGAGTCTATTTTTAATAGCTCTATTAGCTTGGATCTCGGTAGGGAATGCCACTACTACTAAACCGGCTCGCTGGAGGCCTGAGTCTCTCTTTTCCTTAGAAGTGGCCCAATAAGGCTAGCCAATAGGCTCTAGTCCTTTATTAAAGATCTTGATTTCTTCTAGGACTAAGTCCATTCCTTTGGATATATCAAACTCACGAATAGGTATACCGTAGATAATAACTTTATACCATGGTTCCCCTTTTTATATGCTTTTAACTAAGGAAAGCACCCCCTTTATAATCTCAATGTTTGAAACCAGAAAATCAGAGTTGAACTCCGGGGTGGTATTTACTATAATATTATCCCTTGAGGAAAGAGAGACCATAGAGATTACTAGTCCCTTGATTCCCTTAGAGCGGAAAGCAGTATTAAGCGAATTGCGAGTAGAAATAGCTGAAAAGGAAGTAGCCTGCTCTATATAAGCTAGTAGGAAGGTGCATTTCCTAGAGAGGGCTGTGTTTTTAGCATCACGTGTGCTATATAGACTAGTGTTACGAGCACTAGTATTAGTGCCACGAGCACTACCGCTACTAGTAAGTGTACTAGTGCTATTCCCTCCCTGATTTTTGGACTTAGTATGTGATACTAAAGTCTAGTCCGATACTGAGTTTGTGGGTTCTTGACTAGCTATACTAGCCCAAGTAGGCTTAGCTTGTGTAGCTTGTATAGGCTTCGTAGGGGCAGTTTTTGCTTGTATTCTTGCTTGAATTTCGATCCGTTTAGTGGCATTTTCGAGGTTCGCTACTTAAGAGGCTAGTAGAGTACTAGTATGGCGGATATGGCCGAATTCAGTGTATTCCCTGAAGATTTCTACTAGATCTAGTAGTCGAGATTATTAATTATAGGAAGTAGTAATACTAATAGCCTTGACTATTAGTTCCCGGGCTTGGCGAATCAGTAATTTAGCTTCGTTCGAAGCTTGGTTCTGATATTAGTGGTGGTTTCCGTGGTTTTGGTGTTCCTTATTGATATTGCTATCGATATCGCTCGAGCTAGGGCCACGCTTTAGCCCGTTTAGTATGCGGCTCTGTCGATTCGCACTAGCCTGATTAAGCTGAGAAAAAGGGGCTGCGAGTTCGTCTGAGGATATGGGGTTCGTGGTTAAATCGAAGGCGAACTGGGAACCTGGGGGGAATTGAGGTAATGGGGGGCTAGTAGGTAGCTCTAGCTCCGAGCTAGGGCTCTCAGGGAGCTCTCCGAGGTCCTGGGGGTCGATATTAGGGGGGCTGGAGCCCGGGGGGTCAGGGGGGGCCATTTAGCCGGCTCTAGTTCTACTTATAGTAGGTTCTAGAGCCTGGGGCTAAAGGGAGTAAGTGTATGGAGTGAGTTCTGTAGGTAGGTGAAGTGTGTAACTGAAAGTAAGGGGGGTAAAAAACCGGAAAAAAAAGTTTTGTAGTATGAGAAATGAGAAGCTCTATAAGCATGGACTATAATCTCTTGAGTAACTAAGTCTGGTCCAGGGGTTTTTCCTTTTATCTTAGAAGTACAGGCTTATTCTAGTTCTATTTTAGATAAAATAGGCCAGTCCCACTTTGAGCTAGGCCTATAGTCTATTAGACTAATAGGTGCTGCACTAGGAGGGGGTGGGAAAAGCACAGTTCTAAAGATATTATACTTCTCTTGGAAAGTCGATTTTAGCTCATTTGAGCTATTACTATTTAGGATACTAGGAATAGGTTAATATATAGTATCCTTAGTATATTTCATAGCTTTATAAATTGACTGGAAGTCTTCATTCTCTAAGAACTTATTCCAGTATACTAGTTTAGTACTTTTAATAGCATTAAAATAGGTATTCTTTGCATTTTGAAGTTCTTGTTTATAGAGAGTATACCCTAAAGCTTTATACTTATGGCTATAGTATAGCATTGATTTACATAAGGTTTTTAAGTCTTCATTCCACCAGGGTTTAGAATACGGACTAGTAGTAGATTTTGGAATACTATTACTAGCTGCTTCCACTATTCTATTAGTAAAGTCTTCTGCTAATAGGTCTAGTTCCTGAGTTCCAGGTATACTAGTAAGTGGAAAGGGCATATTCTCAAGGCTATTAGTGAGATAGCTTATAAATTTAGCCCAGTCCGCTTTTTTAGTATTAAATCTGACTGGATTAGAACTAGGCCTATAAGTCGACTTACTAATAGTAAATAGCACCCCAAAGTAATCTGAACCTAAGTCTGGTAGTACTTGCCAGTCTTTGATCTTAGTTACTATTCTACTAGTAGCAAAACTTAAGTCTAATACGGAAGGAATGGACATATTAGGCCTATAGAAGATACTTTCCCCTATTTTATTTAATAGCCTTAAAGAGTGGTTCTCTATATAGCTAATTAAATAGATTGCATAAGTGCTTTGAGGTTTAAGGGAATCCTACCAAGGATAATACGTATTAAAATCGCCTAGTAATAGAGAGCTATCTAAGAGAGTAGTAGGTAAAATATCCTCTCTTAGTATAGTCAATATATTATTAGGGTCTTCTGGGTAAACTGCATTATAGAAATTAATTAGCTGCATTTTTAGTACACCTAGACTCAAGTCTATAATTAGGTAATCAGGATCACTTGGTGAGTTTTGAGCTAGACTAGCCTGTAGTTCGCGAGCTATGTAAACTAGAGTTCTAGGTCTCAAGGTACTGTAATTCGGGAGTATTTGGAAATAGCTAGGGTGTATAATGGAATGATATCCCCGATTAGTACTATCCCTTACTATAATCCAGGGCTCTTGAATTACTAGGACTTTAATATCCAGTTCTATAGCCATTTGCAAGACGTTTTCAGTAGTAGGGCCACTACGATTTATATTAATTTATAGTACTTTAATATAGCTACTCATTAATAGTAATAGTAGGAGTAGTAGTAGCTTGTTTAATTACTAAGTAGACCTCACATAGCTTAGAACTAGCTGAGTGGGTAGTACTAGAGTAGTTGGCGCATTTAGTAGTTACGTGGGGGTATTTTTTACCCTTCTTTTTATAGATAGAGCAGAAATGGTTCTCTGTCACGTGCTCCTTACCATATAGCAAGCACTTAGGGTCTTTTTTGCAAATAGAGTCTAAGTGCCCGTACCCTGTATACTTAGTATACTGTGCAGTACTAGAGATAGTATGGTATTTTACTACTTTAGTAGAGATTCCGGCTATAAGGAGTCTGTTTTTAATAGCTCTATTAGCTTGAATCTCGGTAGGGAATGCTACTACTACTGAACCGGCTCGCTGGAGGCCTGAGTCTCTCTTTTCCTTAGAAGTAGCCCAATAGGGCTGGCCAATAGGCTCTAGACCCTTATTAAAGGTCTTGATCTCTTCTAGGACTAAGTCCATTCCTTCGGGTATATCGAAATCACAAATAGGTAGACCGTGGATAATAACTTTATACCAGGGCTCTCCTTTTTATATGCTTTTTACTAAGGGAAGCACCCCCTTTATAGTAGCTTCGTTTTAAACCAAAAAGTCAGAGTTGAACTCAGGGGTAGTATTAACTATAATATTACCCTTTGAGGAAAGAGAGACTATAGAGATTACTAGTCCCTTGATTCCCTTAGCGCGGAAAGCATTATTAAGCAAATTGCGGACGGAAATAGCTGAAAACAAGCTAGCCTGCTCTATATGAGCTAGTAGGAAGGTGCTTTTCCTAGAGAGGGCTATAGATTTTGTACTAGTGTCACGGGCACTAGAACCACTAGGTGGTTTCTTAGTGTCACGAGTACTACCGCCACTAGTAAGTGTACTAGGGCCTTTTCCTCCCAATAAATATATTTAAAAGAATTAGTATTTTCGTTTTTTAAGAGTAAATAGAACTCGGGATTAGGATCTGGATCTATAAATAGTTCTAGAGAAAAGAGGTTCTTAAAGTTATAAATAAGCTTATTTTTTTATTATAGCTTATAAATATAAAGAAGCTTAATATAAGTTCTTTGAATTCTCTAATTCCTTAAAGTTAGAATTAAGTTCCGAATACTAGAAATACTCTTATTTAATAGCCTATAGAGAAAGAGGCTCTTGTTTTAGTAGGGTACTTTCCCAGAAAGCCTATAAACTTAGCTTAATAAATAAGCCTTATTATAAAGAGCTATAAATAGTCTATAAATAAAAGGAAATAAAATTAATTACTAGAAAGGCTTCTGGAAAGTATTTAATAAATATAAACTATAAGAATTATAGCTAAGGTATTTCTAGAGCTAGTAGCTAAGCTAGTAGCGGGTTCCGGATAAATAAAGTATAGCTTAAAGCTATTAAAATAAGAAGAAACTCGGGAAAAAAACTATTAAACTTATACTAGAAATTATTATAAGAGATAAATAGAGCTTATTAGAGGTTCTAGTAAATTAACTAGTATGGGCCTAGTAATTAAGAAAAGCCCAGGGGAAAACCTGAGCTAGTTAAGACTAGTAGATATAGAATAGGAAAAATACTAAAGCTTAATTACTAGATAGAATTCGGGAGAGAAGAACTAGAGCTAATTTGGACTAGTAAATACGAAATAAGAGCTTTTAAATATAGCTAAGACTTATAGAATTATGGTCTAGAACTAGTTAGAACTAGTAGATATAAAACAGGAGCCTTTAAATATAGCTAAGACTTATAAAATAGTACTTATATTTTAGTAATAGACTAAATAAACTAGTTTTTATTTACTAGATACTTCTTTTTTTAAATAAAATATATAAGAGTAATTAAAACTAGTATAGGCTTAATATACTTAAAAGTATAATAAATTCCGGGTTTAGTAAAATCCGTAAAGTAATCTATATTCGGGTCTTCTTCCCGAATATTTTCCGGATTAAATTATTACTAGAATATTTATTTAATAGTTTATAGAGCTATAATCTAGTAAATTTATTTATCTAGTTTAAAGATATAATATAAAATATTTCTCTTATATCTAATAAGAATTCCTTTACTAGCTTTATTATAAATAAGCTTTTATAACCTTCCGGAATTACTATAATAAATAATAAAACCAAATATATAAATATAACTAATATATAAGTAATAGCTATATTATATTTTAAATAAAGTTTTTTTAATCTTAAAATAGGAGCTTTATATATAAAGATATATAATATACTTAATAGTCTTAGGCCAGAACTTGAAATTAAGGCTAATATATTTGAGAAATAAAGCCGCTTTATAATAAATAATCTATTTAAGATATTTTATATATTCGTTTATTTAAGAAATATATAGTTTAATTAGTTCTTATCTAATTCTTTTTTTAAAAAGTATTTTCTAGAACTTATTAATAATATATTGGCCTGCGACGACTTAATACCTCCTCGTAGTACAGGCTATTAACCTATACTCTCTGGAGTATAGGGCTAAGATTAAGTTACGAGCAAATACAGGGAGATTTTCCTTTACTGCCTAATCCGGTTTTATGCAAGCTAGTAGTATAGTGCCTCTATAGGAGCTCAAACTTCTACTTAACGAGACTTACGATTATAATATTGACTCCGATTCTTCCTCTCTCGCTCGATCTACTATATACTTGGGGGAGATATATCTACGGGAACGGCGAGGGAAATCGAGGTGGATACCGTAGCCTTTCCGACTCTCTTAACTTACTCTCGGACTAGCTATATAATAGAGGAATCCTTCTATAGAGGCAGGCCCAAGGACTCGGTATTTCTATGGATATAAAGAGGAGTATAGGGTATTAAGAGGATAAGGGGAGGGGTCGGGCTTGGATATCTGGGTTATGGGAGGACTTGGGTAGTAGTATATAAGAGGGGCGTTATTTTATCTATCAGGGAAGGTTAGCTCTCGCAAGTCCTTATAGCCATATACTATTATAGTACGAACTGCTTTCTTAAAGGTTTATAAGGGTACTAAAACACTACAGGATAAGGGACCCGGGGCTACTAGGAGAAGAGAGGCCTTTTTCCCCTTATGGTTTTAGTACCTTCTCTTAGTAGGACTTTGTATTAAATCCTTAGCTTAGTACGTCCCTATACTTTTCGGGAGGTCGGCCAACCATAGCCCTGGATATTAATTAATAACATATATATATATATTAATAATATATTTCTTTTTATTATTATTATAGAAGTATTTAATAACCTAGCCTAAATCCGGCTATTTATAATACTTCTTAAAGTAAATAAAACTATTTATTATATTATTCTTAATTTTAATTAAGTAAATTATTATAAGTTTAAAATAATTATATATAAATATAACTAGATACTAGTTCCTATTATAGTCTAGTATAAATATTAGACCTATTATATTCGAATAAATTAGGTCTATCTTATATTTTCCCCGCTTAATTAGATAATTATATAGTAATTAATAGCTTTTAAATATAAGATATATTTTATAAATATAATCTAATAAATAATATTTTTCTATAAAATTAATACTTTTATATATAAATAATAAACGGGCTATATTTTATAAATCCAGGTATCTTATATAATTATATTACTAAATAATATTAGTTCGAATTATATAAATTTAAATAATAATAGGTTTCTTAATAAGAGGCTTCTTAATAGCTAAAAAAGCCTTTAATATAAAGAAGATCTATAGAGCTAATAAATAATATAAAATAGAAAAGACTTTAGATAAAGAAAATTACTATAAATAGATATTTAATAAGAGAAAGTTTAAGACAAATAGCTATAAAGCTAGAAAAAAAGAAAAAGAAGAAAAGGAAGAGATTTCTATAATAAAGCAAATAAAAATAAGTTATTATTTAGTTTAATCTAGAAGCTAAAGTTTATATTTTATAAATATATTAATCTTAATCTTATTTATAATCTAATAAATAGCCTCTTCTATAAAAACGGGCTATATTTCTTTTTCTTAAGGATCTAAAATATAGAAATAAAATTAAATAGCTTTATAAATAAATAATACTTAATATTAATTAAGTAAAGAAGTATTAAATAATTACTAGGGCCAGGAATTAGAATTTTAACTATTTTAATTTCTTTAAAACATATATTATTTCTAATACTATTATAAGTATTATATTAGCTTTTCTAAAGCTCGAAGAAATTAGCTAAAATACTTATAATATAATTTATATAGCCTATATTAATAACTTACTTATTTTAGAATAAGTAAAATAGAACTAAAAAAATTTAATTATTTATTAGAATAGAAATAATATTTCCGGATATAAAATTATTAATAGCTATATAATTAATTATTAGAATACCTATATTTATAATATTCGCGATTTATTTAAATAAAGAAAAAGCCTTTAGCTTCTTAAAATCTCTTCTATTTTTATTTATTTATTTCTATTTCTTATTTCAGGCCTTTTATTTATTATTAAATTTCTTTTTAAAACATAAATACTTTAGGAAATACTTAGTCTTTATATAATAGTTCTTATTATAATAAGTACAATAATTAATTATATTAAATAAATAAAAGAAGCCATAAGCTATAAAGGCTATTCTAATATTAATAATTAATAAGAATTCCTATTTTTCCTTATTATAAGCCTTCTAAACTATAGTATTAAATATAATTATAGGAATATTAATAAAGGTAATTAGAATTATAAATTAGATAAATATAGTAATAAAGATATTATATATAGAATTAAGGCCTTAAAAGAAGTAAAAAATAAGCTAAATCTCTAAGAATATAATAGATAAATAAAGGTCTTATAATTTGTAATTAATTTATAAAAGCTAGTTTAAGAAATTAGTAATACTTTTATAATTCCTAAAGTAAAGAATATAAAAGCTTATAGCCAGAATCTTTACTAAAATAGTAAAATATTATATTATTTCTAGTATTATATAGTATATCAAATATATAAGATACGGGTATTTAGACTCTATTTATAAAAGAGAACTAAAGTGCTTGCTATATAGTAAGGATTACGTAACTAAGAATTATTTTTATTCTATCTATAAGAAGAAGAAGAAAAAATGCCCTTATATATATATATATATCTCTTTTTTCGGATTTTTTACTTCTTTTACTTTTACCTAAAAACTTTATTTACCTTTAGACTTTACTTAGTATATCTGATCCACTTAGCCCCAGGCTCTAGAACTTACTATAAATAGAACTAGAATAGGCTAAATGGCTCCCCCCGACTCCCCGGGCTCTGGCCTCTCTAATATTAATTCCTAGGACCTCGGAAAGCTCCTAGAGAGTCCTACGGAATAGCTAGAGCTACCTACTAGCTCCCTACTAGCCCGGTTTAGTCAAGAGGCCCGCTATATCTTTAATTTAACTATAAATCTCATCTCCTCAGACGAACTCGCAGCCTCTTTTTCTTAGCCTAATTTAGCTAGTATAGCTCATTTAAGCCGTATTCAGAACGGGCTAAAGCGAGGCCCTAGCTCTAGTAAGGCTAT